TCTCCCGCATTATATTAAACTAGGGTGACCGTATGTCCGGTTTTCCCCGGACATGTCCACTTTTCACTCTCTGTCCGGGCGTCCGGACTGGGGGTCCGCGGTCGTATTGATGAAAATGTCCGGCTTTTCATCCAGGAGCAGGGATCGAATTATGGGGGAGCTGTATATCTTACACATCCAGGGGAGCCGGAAACAAGTTTTCTATCTATATTACATCATTTATGGACTCTTCTGAGCAGAGAGCACAGAGAGCGGCACAGCGCGTTCTTGCGCAGCGCTCCAGGCAGCTGCGTCCAGCGCACGGTCCATTCTCAAAGTGGCGCAACCAAAAAATTAGCACACGATCGTTCATGTCCGCACATATTCTCTATTTTCTGTCTTATTTGTGCCTGAAGCGCTCTGCTGCTGCGCAGCTCATCACCTGTGCTGCGCGGTGCTGCGGTGATTTCACCTCACTGACGCAGCATCGAAAGGCGCACTCCGCTTTGCGGTCAGGAGATCCATTTGATCTGCTCAAAAGTAACTGATGAGGTGAAAAAGTAAGAATCCAGGCAGCAGTTTTTTCTGGAGAGTTTAGAGGAGACGCAGGAAGATGAGAGACAGACAGGACAGGAAAATAGTTAAATAAAAACAAGAAAACAAAACTAAGTGTTGAAAAGTAAAATGTAGGTAGAGTTATCACCACTACACGTTTTTACCAGTAAAAAACAATAAGTTATACACATGTCATATTTACACATCTGATACAATTCAAATCACCTTCAAAACTCAGTCACACACCCAGGGCCGTTTCAAGACATTTTGGGGGCCAAGGCAAAATGACCCACCCCCCACCCACCCACCCCATAACTGGGCTCCCCAGAAGCCTCTGTGTAATTGTTACCCTCTCCAGTATTGTTAGTTATACAGTGTTTATAAAAGCTCCTCAGACATTACTGACATGCTCTAATATTATCAGATAAAAAACTAAATTATCAGACATGCTGTCTCATCTGCTTCTTTTCTAAACTTGCAAAAAGTAACAAAACCATTTGAAAGCCACTATTTGTGGATTCTCTGAAAGTTTCCATGGAGTGTGGGACAACTTATTTTTTCATTGATCCTATCGTCTAATCTCACAGCTGAAACAAGCACCCTTAATAATCTGTGCACAGGAAGCTTACCAATGCTGAAGTAAAACAAAAGGTATAATAATTTATTATTATTAAAACCTTGTTGCAGCACTAAAGCAGAAAAATGAGATCTTGCAATACATATGCTAAATATTTACATATGAATTGTTTTAGAGCCCTTTAATTGGCAGAATCTGATATTAACCCTTTGATGCATAACGGTCACTACAGTGGACAGGTACTCAAAATTGTTATTTATTTGTTTTTGCAATTAAGCACAGCTGTTGAAGACTTTATTGCATGTGAGCCCCTCCATTTGGACTTCAGTAAGCCAAGCCAACATATTTCATGCTCAGAATGCACGCTGTCCACTGAGGTGGACGTGTAATAAATTATTTGTAAATTATAAAACTTTACAAAAAATATTTGTTGAAATTTGTTTCATTCAAACCTAAAGATGAATCAAAAAAATTGTTTAAAAAATCATGGTTGAAGATTTCATAATTCATGCATCAAAGGGTTAATTTAGTTCTTACAAAAAATGGGTCCCAACATGGTTTGTGTGGCGTTGCCATAGTGTGACGTCATAGGCACAGATCCCCTGTCCTCTTGTTTGGAAATGGAAATATGATCACCCTGTACTAAACAAACTGTCCACCCGGGCTTTTGCGCTGCACAGAGACGCTTCGCTGCCTATGACTTTGAACGTCAGTTAAGAGTCAGTCTCATGCAGACTGACCAATGAAGAGAGGGCCTCAAGTTAAGACCCTCTCCTCATTGGTCAGTCCACACAAGGTGGGTCAAAGGTTACCCTGAGCGGGTTACGTGATGTCAGGCATTCAAGCATTGAGTATATTTACTGCATATTACAGTAAAATATTCTGTATGTGACCATATTATGGTGATCCTTGGGTCGTGATGATGGAGCCCTTTAATATTGTTGCCCAGGGTACAACAAAGTCTTAATCTGGCCCTGGATGCAGCTAAATGTGCAAAAATGAGCACCTTTTTTTCTCAAACAAGCTCGCGGTCTTTAACTTCAAATGAAGATAAAACGGGTAAGGCAAGTCACGATGTTAAACTTTACCGGCTGCAAATCACCATTCAAGTTAATTAAGCATCAATAATGAATTATATGGCATCATGACATAACGTTATGTAATATAATTTACAGTATGATGTGACTGACGCCACCAAACTGTCTTGTCAGAGTCAAACACAAGATCCAGTAGGCCTAATAAGCACCAGGCAGAAACCCACAATTCCAGAGCGGGCATGTACAGGTAGGATTACTTATTGAGTCAGTGAACTGAATATTATTAAAATTTATATGATGAAAACTATCCTGGCTCTATATGAAAGTGTTCTAAAATGCTAGATGATTCAGCATTGATCAGAAAGCGTGTAAAAAAGGAAAATGAATGCTGAATTGTGACAATTTTCACACAATGTAGTGTCAGAAGAAGAGCCAGGAGCCAGCAGTGAGGGTATTGCTCCTGTTGGGATAGAAGGTGAGCCAACTCATGTGCAAACAAGCAAACATCAGTTTCATTATAATAATTTTAATGTCCAAATAATAGTAGTGACCTGATGTATTTCTGTTAGTAAATGCACAAAGCCCACAACAGATCGCTATTAGAATGAAAGTAAATTTAAATAAGCCTGCATATTTTGCCATAGAAAATATTTTAATTGGTTACAAAAAATGTGTTTTCCATATCAAATGTGCTAAAGCTTTCCAGATGATTATTTTAATTGTGTGCAGGTGAGTCTAGGGAAACTGGAAAAAGTGTGAAAGGGAGTGCTGAGTCATTTCATTTTAAAGGTTTGAAAATCTCAGAACAGCTGTTTGAACAGAAGGTAGATTGTTATATTGTTAGAGAATGTGTTGTAAAGAACAATGTTGGAGATGTGCACTGATGTTCAAATAAACCTACATTGTAAAGCAACTCTTTCTTGCTTTACAAGAAAGAGTTGCTCTTTCTTGTAAAGCAACTCAACTCTTTCAACTCTTTCTTGCTTTACAATTACAAGGCTTTACCGAGTAGTGTGCTTTTGTAGACTATACATATAAAGTTCTAACATGATTTTAATAATAATTCGTTAAGTGGGCCGGTCTGGGGTCTGAAACTCCAGGGCTGAAAATGTGTCCCACTCCGGCCCTGGTATTTATCCTAGTGAATCTATAATTAAACAGGTAAACTAGGAGTAGCACATTCAATGTCAAGGAAAGTTAAATGTTGTTATCAGGAGAGGGAGAATGATTAAATGGTTAGCAACAGTGTTCAAGACAATGGCCCCCTCCATGAGGCCACCACAGCTCAGCAGAACTTCATTGTAGCTTCTTCTGGGAGAAAAACACTTAGATAAAAAGCAGTCTAAGCCTATAGCAGCATAACTACAGAGATAACTCTGGATAACCTAGCCTTTTAGATGGAGGCATGTTGGAGGCAGGGCAAGGGAGAGTCGTCTTTACCGACTGTACGCTCCACCTCCCTCTACTCCCCCATTTGTCCAGATCTAGGCTAACATCAGATTTTAACCATGGGCCCTATCAAATAAAAATGTTTTAAGCCTAGTCTTAAAAGTAGACAAGGTGTCTGCCTCACGGACTAAAGCTGGGAGCTGTTTCCACAAGAGAGGAGCCTGATAACTAAAAGATCTGCCTCCCATCCAAGTCAATAATTTGGTTTGAGTTTGTTTGTTTTTTCACCTAAGGGCGCTTTATAAGGTCCTTTTTGACAAGGAATGACTTCGAGAAGCGTATCCATGCATTTATAACATCTCGTTTAGACTGCTGCAATAGTCTTTTCTTGGGTATTAATCATGGATGTATTGCTAGGCTGCAGCTAGTTCAGAATGCTACATCTTGTCTCCTGACTGGCACATGTAGGTTTGATCATATTACTCCAGTTCTTGCCTCTCTGCATTGAATCCCAGTTAAGTTCCATGTGCAGTTTAAGATTTTGGTTTTAGCTTACAAAAGTTTGAATGGATTTGCTCCTAGCTATTTATCTGAACTCGTGCCATATGTTTCATCTCATGGATTGTGTTTGGCTGACCAGCTTAGGTTGAGTGTACCTAGGGTAAGACTACAGAAAAGAGGTTTTAGATCTTTCTCAGTGGCAGCACCGACTCTGTGGAATACGTTGCCTATCTCCATTAGGCAGGCGTCATCTGTTGCCAGTTTTAAAAAGATACTGAAAACTTACCTTTACTCGACAGCTCTTACTATTCCTACTTGACTTGGTAGTCCTGTATTTTTTTTAATAATTTCTTATGTCAGATTTTTTATGTATTGTTTTTAATGTTTTATTGTGCTTTTACTTGACTGCTTGTATTTTTTAATGTTTTTATATGTCTATGTTCAGCAATTTGTACAGCATTGTTGCATTTAAATGTGCTTTACAAATTAACATGATTTTATTTTGATTTGATTTGTTATACAGTCTTGATCAGTGTTGGGAGCATTACTTTGAAAAAGTAATTAGTTATAGTTACTGATTACTTTGTCAAAACAATAACTTGGTTACTTACCGAGTTACAAGATTATAAAAGTAAGTAAATACCAAGTAAAATAACTATTTAGTTACTTTTTTCATTAAAGAATGCAAGAAAAATTGGTTCCCCTCGTAATCAAACTTACTTAATTTACTATAAATTACTACAATCCTGAAATATAAATGACTAATGACTGAACATAATAAAATGTATGTCCAAGATCAGAAACATTCTATTCCTCCAAACTGAGTTCCCTTTTATCCGAACTCTTCAGACTTAAGGTGGTAGCAGCAATCAAGACTAGATTATTAATACTATTTAATTTAACCATTGGTGCAAATATTCTGCCATTTGGTGTTCATCATATTTTGTCGTTGTTCTCTGCAGATGCTGTGTACGTGCTGTGCTACAGTCTAATCCTGCTGTCCATTGACCTAACCAGCCCACACGTAAAAAACAAAATGTCAAAGAGGGAGTTTATCAGGAACACTCGCCGAGCAGCACACAACATCTCAGATGACTTTGTTGGCCATCTCTATGATAATATATACCTGATTGGTCATGTGGCTGCATAGCTCTGCTTAATGTACTGGTGACTGGGCTTCAGTGCATCTCTGGAGTAAACCAGTTTATAGTGAATGAAACTTGTAAGAACTGTTGTAGCAGAACCTGCCACTTCACTGTAACCCTGATGGTCCTACCAAATATTAGCAGTGGTATTAGCTTTATAATTAAAGGTGGACATGAAGGATCTAGATTGAAAGCATGGACATCAAAGATGAGCATTTTAAAGAACACAAGCTGTGATTCTGCACTGAAGCACAAGAGTTGTTGAAGTATGAAGATGAAGAGGTGCACGGCCTTTGGTCTGTTACAGATCCCTGGACAGTTAAACTGGTGGCTTTCTGAGCATGTCTGATTCTAGCTAGGCCTATCCCTACTCATGGTAAAGATTGTTCCCTGCTGCTGTTTAGACGATGACATTGTGACAGCAGAGAAAATCTATTTAAAACACTGTGAAGTTGTGAAAAGGTTTGATTGACTCAGATTAATATTTTGCTTTTAGACAGAAAACAAGTTCTACCTGTTGGACACAATGAAACACGTATGGATTTGTCACAAGGGAACCTGGACATGTGCTCTCTTAACTCTGTCAATAACATCAAGGAAGTCAGACCCCTACATTTTAATTCAGCATGAGGATTATTCATACAACACTGTAAATAGGTAGTTGATACCACAGAAGAAGTCTGAACACTTGGCTACTGGTTCTGGTTTTACTGGTGATCATTTCTCCTCTCATCCCTGTTTGGACTCCTCTGCATCCTGCATTGGAATCAAATGAAGATTCATTGCAATCTGAGTTTCCTTTTCCTTTATTTATTATTACTGTTTTTACAAATTTGCTTATAAATGCTAATATACTGAAATAGACTGTTCTGAGTTGTATTTTGTTATGGGGAAATAAAGGGAACCGAATGAAGTTTTTGGATTTTAAATAGATTGTGTTAAAGGTGAAACGTCTCAGTGTTGTGTTAACTTAAATATCCTTTTAGCTTTTCAATCAACTTTTTGCCCCTTACCAAGAAAGTCGGTTGTTCTTACTTTTCGGAAGGACCGGTGGCGCCAGTGCTCGGCAGCCTCGCCTCTGTCATTGCGCCCCAGGGCAGCTGTGGCTACATCGTAGTAGGGATGCAATGATACCACTTTTTTTCCAAACCGATACGATACCGATACTTTGATCTGAGTACTCGCCGATACCGATTACCAAAACCGATACTTCTACCACACAAAAAATGCAATGATTTGGAATACAGATTTTATTTTCTTCTCTGCTTTCAACAGGAAAAGACTGTGAGGTAGATAAAAAGTAAAATATATGAATGGAAATCATCACAAAACTTAAATATTAGGTGAACAGAAATGACAAGTTACAGTGAAGCCATTTTCAAGCAACTGCATTGGTATCAGTTCCTGGTATCTGTTAACTTTTACCGATACGATACAGGTATTGGTATCGGCATCGGTGCCGATACCTTCTGTCCAGCCGAAGGAGAGTCATGAGCTTGCGCGATCATATATCCCCCCTCACTGCCATTGACGACTAAAGTCGTCATTTGCATCGTTTTACTGTGTGGGCATCGGAACGAGCCCCCGCACCATGAGAACAAACATCTCAGCTCTAAAGCTGATCTTCATTCACATACATCACATGTCACGTGATCAGAAAGCAGAAAATCCATGTGTTAGGAGATCGTTTTGGGCCGCGGCTGTAAAAAAAAAGTGAGACGCGAACCGGAAAAGCTTCTGCTGATCACAATTTGACAACGGATTATGAAAGAACGGATAACGCTTGAAACGCGCGGATTCTTCCTGATGTAAGAGGTGAGTCTCCTCTTTGTTTTCGTTGTTTTGGCGTCGACATCATCCTAGCGCGCAAAGTTCTGTGACTCTTAAAAAAACGGTGAGAAACGCTGGCAGCGAAGGGCTTTACCGATAAGGAAATGGCTGGCAGTGAATGACTTGAGGACGCCAAGAGAACAGGAAACGATGGAGGATTAGAGACATGCATAAGTAACCCATTTACCATTCGCAGCGTGACTCGAACACGAAAGACCACAGAGCTTAGGAACGCAGTCGAGCTTGACAGAAGAAGGTGTAGGTCATGTCACCTGGAGCATATTGGACATTTAATGCACATGAAGTCAGTTCTGGTGGATCAGAAAGATACTGATTCATTCTGGTGATAGCAGGGTCCTGGGACCGGAGACTGACAAGGTTCTCAGTAAAAACCAGTTGAACAGACACAAAACCATCAGGTGGTTAAGGGGCTTAAGCGGCCTAAGCCTGAGTCATGACACACAAGTGGGGTGGGTCTGACTGGGAAAACACATCGTCAGGGAGCCTCAAGCGGTTGAAGGACCATGTTTGGCTAGGGAGTCTAAGGTGTGGTGGTGTAGGAATCCTAACTTCATGGATTGTGGTTAACCCACAGTCTAAGGAGTTGACTGAAAGAGAATCTTTGTATTGAAGTAGGTGTTGCCGTAGTTTGTTCTGCTTGACCTCGTAAGAGCATCTGCTTGGCCCACAACCTGTTCAATGAAAGAGAACATCAGAGGGTGTCGGGATCTGCTCCGACCTCTCTGACTCTTGGTCTCATTTACCCCTTATTAGTTGCTTATTGGACTCACCTGCCTCTTGTTATCCTACCCATGTGTTTCTGATTATCCTTGTGTATTTATACCCCCTGTTTTGCACTTGTCCCTTGTCAGGTCATTGTTGTGTTTTCACCCTGTTACGTTCCACCTGCTGTATCATCCTACCTGCCATTATTCATTAAATCCATGTATTTTACCTGAGCTGCATTCCTGCCTCCTGGTCCAGCTCCACCACCACCTACACTGCACCATGACAGAATAATCTGACCAACTTGGACCTGTGGTGAGCTTTAACAGCTGCCTGGAGGACAATTATTATTATTATTATTTTGGCTTTGTCTTCATTCCAGCAGAAGGACTTTTGTTACTGGGGGTTTTGGCACATCCTAGCTGTTTCCGGGTGGTCGAACCCATTCTCCTCTCCTTGCTGTCCGCCCTGTCCTTGTTTTGCCACGGAAGCTGCAGAAGTCCTGGAGATCTGGTTGAGTAGACTCCCTACGCACGCCAACGTTCTCTGGGTGGTAGGGCTCGTGTCCCCGCTCCTCTGCTGCTTCCCTTCACCTGAGCCTCTGCCTGTGGACCCAGTGTATCCTGATGTGCACCTGCTCTGACCGGATTGTCAAGTACCTGCCGCTGATCCTGGTTTCCTCACTGTGCTCCTCTACAGTACACCAACTCTCCAGCCATCTCCAGATCTCCTTTGGATCTACGTCTTGTGGTCCAGCCATACTGCCTGATTGAGAGGCCCCAACTCGCTGCCTTGCCCTCAGGATCCTGCTGTGAGGTCTTGGGGTTTTCATGCCCCCTCTTGGGAGCTTCAGGGCCTTGGACCTTTGCTGGACATTGTCTCACCCTCTCCTTCTAGAAGGGGCTCCTGTAATGGGCGTCAGGAGCCGCCCCTTGGGAGGGGGTACTGTCAGGATCTGCTCCGACCACTCTGACTCTTGGTCTCATTTACCCCTAATTAGTTGTTTACTGGACTCACCTGCCCCTTGTTATCCTGCCCATGTGTTTCTGATTATCCTTGTGTATTTATACCCCCTGTTTTGCACTTGTCCTTTGTCAGATCATTGTTGTGTTTTCACCCTGTTACGTTGCTCCTGTTGTATCATCCTACCTGCCATTATTCAATAAATCCATTTATTTTACCTGAGCTGCATTTCTGCCTCCTGATCCAGCTCCACCACCATCTACACTGCACCGGGACAGAGGGTGGCTCCGAAAGATACTCTGGTAGCAGTTCTGGAGGAGCTGAGCTTGGTGGGGAGCTCGTGGTTTCCCCATGCTCGGGGCCACCTACCACAAGACAGCGAAGGTCAAGTTCATGAGGGCGATGGGCAGGGGGTCTTCAACACACGCCCAAAGTTCTCCCCCTTCAAGATTGATAACAGGGACAAGGTACATAAAAAATCAACACCAAGTATCAATGAAATAGTACTGAGGTCAGAGACATACACAGGATGTGTGAACGGAATGGGACCGACCACGAAGTGAAGAAGAGACACGAATGGCAAGGTCACGTCTCCTGGAGCATATGTGCAGACATTTAATGCACATGAAGTGAGTTCTGGTGGTCAACCTCCTCCTCCTCCAGCGGCTAGGCAGAGGTGATCGAAAAGAGAGAGAGAGAGAGAGAGTGAAGTCTACACCGGTGTCTGGAAGTGTGTCACAGGGGAGCACCTGCTTGAGGGTCACAGGCACATAAGGCTTCCCAGCCCTCCCTTGCAGCATGAGTTGTCCCAAGAACATTTTGGCTGACCAGCCACCTGGGGGCGCTGGACCATTGTTACAAGCGGGTTCATCAATCATCGGTTCATCATGGCAATGGCGCCCCCAAGGGGTGGCCATGGCCACCCAGCAAAAGCCAATGTTACTAAATCATATTAATGTTCACTCAAACCATAAATTGATCTTATTTATTCAAGACTTAATTGTAAAACAAAATAAAAATAATACAATTAATTAGTATAGAAATAATCAGAATAAAAAGAATACATAGGTTTCTTCTGCTCACCATTTTTAAAAAGTTTTTATCTCTATATTTTTTTGTGAACACAGCAACAGGTGAATTAAAGTTAAAAAGTACATTTTAAAATAACATTTTAAATAACTGAAAGGTATTTTTCTGACATGTTTGTGCTTGTAAAATTTAAAATGTTTTGGATACGTGCCGTTTCTTTTTTTAATAAAAACTAATTAAGGAGCAATGCAATACATCACCACAGGCTAAACTTTCCCAGCGTTACCACAAGTACCAATTTGGTGTGCCACCCCAAAAATTTCTTTGGCCCAGTCTGGCCACCCTTGTCAAAATTTTCTGGAGGTGCCCCTGCATCAGGAGCAAGCGATTGTTCTGCATCCTGGACATCAGAGGCAAGAAGCATGTCATCTGGTTGCAGGTTTTTTTCAAAATCTGAAAGGGAATCAGCCGAAGTGCGTGGAAATACATCCACGGGCAAGGAGGCTGTCTCCAAAGCCAGGACTCTTTTTTTTTTTCAATCTTGGAAACTCTGGTTTAAATTGGAAGGCTCCTGTTTCATTTCCATTCTCATTCAGTGAGAAAATACTTCAATAATTTATTGCGGTCTGCAACCATCCTGATGAATAGATGCTAGAAAAACCATAATTTTCGGGATCGGTATAGGGAGGTTGGGAGAATTTTGGTAAGAGAAGAAGAGACGATTATGTCACTTCCTTTCTTCCCGAGATCTGTTGTCAGTCTGACGTGTGAAAATAGCGTTGTTATAAGATTGACACGACTCAGTTATATTAGTTAGAGCAAGGGTGGCCAACCAGTCAGAGACCAAGAGCCACATTTTTTACTGTTACCGCAAAGAGCCACATCATACACACATCATACACATGAACATACAAATATACACACATACACAAACACACACACATACACACCCCCACCGACCTTGAGTCAGGGGCGCCTCCAGAAATTTTTGATCGGGGTGGCCAGACGAGGCCAAAGACATTTTTGGGGTGGCACACTGTGACAAACACTGTCACCTTTTGGCCACAAGAGGCCCTCGGTACTCTGCCTGCACAGCTGCGGGCTGTCAGACTAATTGTGTCTCCCTGTTAAAAGGGAGCTCTGCCTGTCATTCTAGGAGAGGTTACAGATGGGCGTTGACACGGAGGTGTTTACTCTCCTCTCTAGCTCTCCTCGCACTATAGACGTTAAAGTCTTCGTTTGACACCTGAGTGGTTCTCCAATTGTTACCTGAGTGGTTCCTTTGGGTTTGACACCTTAGTGGTCCTATTTTTGCTACCTGAGTGGCCTTTTTGGTTATATTAATAGTAGCTGTGTGTCCTCGTCTACTGAGAGACTTTGCTCACCCTTTTGGTGCAGATTTTGTGTTTATCCATGTAAAATACATTTCGCTGTTTTTTTGATGTAATTTAACAAGTTATCAAATTAATATCAACCACTCTGAAGCCACCCGATTGTCTACACCAGGATCGCGGAAGTTCTTGGCGATCTGGTCGGCAAGCGAAGCTTCTGGTGTATCTGAAGATCGTAGGCACCCTCAGAATATTCACGACTGGTAAAAAGATACTTTCCAGGTGGCTTCTGACAGCCGGTTTTGCTTCTGATGAGCGAGTGGTGAATTGAGCAAATAATTGATTGATTTAAAAAGGAAGATTTGGCGATCTTTAAGCCGCTAAAGTCATTCCTCTGAAAATTCTGGTTTGATTCCTCATAGGATGGTCATTTAGCATGAGCTATGAGCTTTTGCTGAACTCGACGCTCTGGCGGAACTGGGTAAAATAGGAAGTGTGTTCACTTTTACGAAGTGATTCTTTATGAACTTTGACCAACCAGATCTGACAAATTTGTATAGGAATTTACCAAGAGTCTTCAAACATTCCCCTTTCTGTGATGTTTAGGTCATTTTCATTTAATATATGGAGTAAATCTGTTAAATGTTCATTTGCTAATATACTGATATTAATCACTAAAAGTGCAGTTCCTTTTTTCTAAAAGTTTTGATAATAAGCTCTGGACAAATCACAAATGTACTCGCAGCAAATTCTCTATGATTAAAACTCTAAAACATGTGTCCTGTATCTGAGGTACATGTGTGAAGTTTGCAGTGAAAAGACCGCATCGAAATCGTCTCAGAATTCAGGGAGTTATGGTTGATTTAACATGCTGACACTTCAATGCCCCTCGACCGATCCAAGATGGCTCGTCAGCGCAGTAGCGGTCACGCGGGGTCTATCTAGAGCTATAGCTGTGGGTCTATCTATGTAAACAAAGAAATAGACCTGAAGTTAACAGCCAATCAGAAATCGTTCTTGTAAAACGTCAACAAGGAAAGACGCCCGCTAATTTTTGTTTGCTTCACAACGACGCAACGACGTGTGTAAGAAGAAATCCACCTAAAATTGAGATTTAACATCCTGTTTAGGTTATGAGCAGAGGTTGTGTTGTTAATCTTCTTGTTAGCACGACGTCTATTTCTGTTTTTGTAAAGGCAACGATGTTTTCCGTGGGTGATTCCCAAAGCAGCATTCGAAAACTGGAGAGTCTCCTGAGAGTTATAAAATACCCCGGATGTGTGAACTACAGTGGGTAAGCTTTTCTAATGGAAGTCTCACCGGAGAAGTAATTATACTTTCCGTGTTACTAATGTATGATCAGAATGTTATTTAAAAAAACAACACCCCTCTGTCGCGGTAAGGCTGTGAACAAGACTCTAGTAAAGTTGGCAAGATGTTGGCAGATTCGACTTTTGTGGCTCAACACCTTCAGAATAAAGAGGTATTTAGAAACATACCCCTGTGATTTTGGCAAAGTAGTGAACAAGCTACAACGATGTTGAATAAAAAAATTAAAAACCCGTCCTCTGTCGGTGCTCTGCTCTTGCCAACGCAACAGAACGAGCTGGTCTGCAACACCAGAAACGGTTGATGATAAAATATGTAATAACCTCCACACACTGCAGTGTGACCAAACTCACAAAATATAACACTGCACACATGCTGACCACACTACACTAGTTTAATCCAGGTACATATTTTTGTTTTTGTGTGAAATTTTAAATAATAGAATAGAATTCAACTTTATTGTCATTGCACATGCACAGGTACAGGGCAACAAAATGCAGTTTGCATAATATAAGTTGTAAAAGATCCTCCATTTGAAACGGACACCAAATTCACACACCAAATCAAAACTTGGATGCTGATCATCCTACACATTTTATGTATTTAGAGAAATTACTAAACCCTTAAAGTTTTTATTTATTTATCTGATTTTTGGTGATGTTTTCGAACTTAGAAATTTCAATAACTTCTACTCTGTAAATTTTTATTCACACAAAAATGGCCCATGCTGATCACCACTTACCAGCTCTCCATAAATACCCTTTAATTTTTTTGAGAAATAGTTCTCTGATTTTTGGTGATTTTTTATTTATTTATTTGAAATTTCAAAAGCTCGTATGTAAACTCCGTTGACACCAAAATCACTCCTGCTCATTACCACTTACCTGCTTTTCATACTACACCTTAGCCTGGCAAGCCGGACTAAATAAATGTATTATTTAGTCTGGCATGCTCCATTGACGGCTCTCGGTTGTGGGGCGGGCTCTACCGTTGTCTTTCAAATGATCTCCGCATGCTACTGGACAATGAATGTGACATACTCTTGTTTCACTCTGTTGCATCATCCCACCCACCAGGCATATAGAGTGCCCTGATTGGCCCACAAAGCGGATAAAGCTCTGTGATTTGTTCACTAAGCAGATAGAGCACTATGATTGGCCCACCATTATGGACCAATCACAGCTCTTTATGTGTTTGAAACCCCTCTAGAGAGCTGTGATTGGCTAGCCAGAGTCCTGGTAGGAGCTTCAGAGGTTCCAGTGGAGCATGCCTAGACCAAACTTTGCAAAGCAAGAATTTGGTCTAGTTCACTAGGCTAACTACACCTTTCATTTTTTGGAAATAATACTTATATAATTTCTGGTAAATTTTAAAAACTTTGAATTATCAGTAGCTCCTACACTGTAAACTCTAGTGACACAAAAATGGCCCCTTCTGATCAGCACCTACCTGCTCTCCAGACTACGATGTACTTTTTGTACTCTTTATGCACTGAAGCTGGCACATTCTGAGTTTTTCCAGCAAGATGGTGCACCACCACATTATGGATGAACAGTTTCCTGGAAAATGGATTGGTCATCATAGGCCAGTTGAATGGTCCCCAAGGTCTCCCGATCCGACCCCTTGGACTTATCTTTGGGGCCGTCTGAAGGCAATTGTCTATGGTGTGAAGATCCGAGATGTGCAGCACCTGAAACTACAGATACTGGAAGCCTGTGCAGGAGTTTCTCCTGCGGTGTTGCTATCAGTGGCAGAAGAGGGTTGCATATACAATCCAACACAGTAGGCAGCACATTGAACACATTTTATAAGTGGTCAGAAACTTGTAAATAACCCATGAAAGAATAAATTTACGTTAAAACCAAGCACACCACTTGAAAAGTTTGGCCTCTCACTTAACGTCCTGCTCGTGCCACAAACGGGACGTTAATATCACCAACCATTCCCATTAAGGTGTTTCCATATAAATGACCCACCCTGTACAAAACATTGTACGACCCTCAGAAACATCAGAAGGCCACTTTGCAGAAACGGCGCTACTTGAGAACTTCTACTACACTGGAAGGTAGGCTCTGCACTAGTATTGGATGGGTTAACTTGATAAACTAAATTTAAACAAAATTCAACCAGATTTATTTTATAAATCCAGACATATCTTTCTGACTCGCTTAATTAAGCTCTTATAACATACTAGTTTGTGTGCCTGTGCACATGCACAAATTATATGAAAGGCATGAGCTGCCAGAGGACCTCAGGGCCGCAGAGAACGTTCATGTTTTTAAGTCAAGACTCAAGACCCATCTTTTTAGGTTAGCTTTTATCTAAACATTTTCTACAGTTTTATTTCTCGTTTTACATGATTATATTTTATTACTTGCTTTGCATGTTCTATATGATTATATTTTAGCACAGTTTTATTATTTAAATGATTATTTTACTGTCTATATCATTTTATTTATTACTTATTTTCTAATTTTTGTCATTTATATTAGCTCTTTTATTACATTTTTACTCATTTTAATCCAGTATTTCCTCTGTAGGGGCCCTCTGCCCCGGGAGCGGTGGTCAACTGTAGCTTCCTGGGCGCTCTATAGGTGGGGGTCTATGCTCCCCCTCCACTGAGCGCCCTGACTTAGTGTGGAAGACCTGATGCTGCCGGGGCAGACGGCTCCTCTGACGGCGTTTCCTTGCGTTACCATACTTGGCTCATCTGGACTCAGCCAAATATAATTTTTACTTGTGTGTGTGTGTGCGTGTGTGTGAGTCTGTGTGTGTGTGTGCGTGCGTGTGCTTGCATATGTTTGTTAATGTTTTTAACCTGTTATGGGAATCTGGGGTCATTTTGTAAAGCACTTTGAATCACACTTTGTTTGAAAAGCGCTTTAGAAATAAATTTGATTGATTGATTGATTGATTGATTGATTGATGGCATTGTTAAAGGTGTGATTGGTTGCCAAAGTCTCTTCTCATCAGGGCTGTGCTAACAGAGCTGGGGCTGAAACGTGCAAGGACCACAACAGCGGTGGCACTTACATTTAGGAAGCTACTCGAGGTGGTGGTGTATAAAAATAGCATTTATTTGAGGAATTATATCATTTAATGGCCATCTGCTGATTAATGTAGTTATTGAACACAGTTCCAAAAAAATAGCTACAAAGCTTAACGACAGCTACGAATCTAACAATCAAACGATTTGGCCAGCAGCTGCACACTAAGCCATAGTGAAAATGAAAGGGCAACTGCGAGGAGATGAAGCTAGAAGATGGGGTCAACCCTACACACCACCAAAACCAAAAACGAGCGGCCAACCTCTGAGTCACGCCAGCACATGTAGGCGGTCTGAAGAAAAACGAATAAAAGCTGCCATCTCACTGAAGGACCATCTGAGGCCGTGCTGGGACAACTGAGCTGGACTTGAACAAACACACAGATAGCGGGCTGTGCTCACCGAGGTTCTGCGTTTCTTCAGCACAGCAGCGACTTTTTTGGATGCAGACGTTGCATGAAACCGAACTGAAACCGCCCATAATCCTGCTGCAGCACAGCAAATATGTTAAAAAGGTAATCCAAGGAAGAGGCCCCCTCAGATAATGCTCAACTGGTCGAAAAATACTTCCTGGGTAGCTTCTGGCAGACCGTTTCACGTCTGATGAGCTGTTTTGTAGATTAAACAAGTAACTGGTTAATTCTCAAAAAGGATGGTTCTTTATGCCGCTAAAATTATTCCACTGAAAAATCGGTCTTGAATTCCCATAGGATTTAGCGTAAGCTTGAAGCTTTTTGCAGGAACTTCATGAGCTGGAAGCTTTGGCTCAAACTGCTGAATACAGGAAGTGTTTCCTCCTTCAAGGGTTTGTTGTTTATATGTTTTGGACCAACCAGATTTGAGAAATTTTAATGTGCGTTTACAAAGAGCCCTCAGACCTCCCTTTTCTTAGGCACTTAAAAGAGCTTATTTCACGGTAGTGAAGTAGTAAACAGTTGCTCTTCACACTACACCTACAGTAGGATGCAAAATTTTGGGCAGCCTTGTTGGTCTTTATGATTTTCCTGTATAAATTTGTGGTTGTTACGAATAAAACTTTCAAGTAAAAATTTCATATAGGAGACACACACACACACACAGTGATATTTGACAAGTGAAACAAAGTTTAAAGGATTTACAGAAAGTGTGCAATAATTGTTTAAACAAAATTAGGCAGGTTCATAAATGTGGGCGCTGTTGTCATTTTATTGATTCCAAAACCTTTAGAACTAATTATTGGAACTCCAAATTAGTTTGGTAAACTCAGCGACCCTTGACCTCCTTACAGAGGTGAATCCAATTATGAGAGAGTATTTAAGGAGCCCAATTGTAAGTTTCCCTCCTCTTCGAATATGTTCTAAAACGTAGTTGAGGGGCGCATTTGTTCCACTCAGTATCAGCAGATTCTAGAGACCAATGTCCAGGAATCAGTGACAAAGCCGAAGCTGCGGCAGAGCTTAATCTTTCAACAAGACAACAACCAGAAACACTGCTTGAAGTACATTGTTCTGAAATGGCCTTCTCCGTTCCCAAACCTGAATATTATTGAAAATCTGTGGTTTGAGTTAAAAAGAGCTGTCCGTGCTCAGAAGCCGTCAAACCTGAATAAACTAGAGATGTTTTGTAAAGAAGAACGGTCCAAAAATGGTTTATGAATTTAATGAACACTGTCAGTAATTACTAAAATGGCAGTTAATGTTTTGTATAAAAAAGGAAAACGCTCTAGGGCAGGGGTGTCAAACTCGTTTTAGCTCAGGGGCCACATTGAGGGAAATCTAGTCCCAAGTGGGCCGGACCGGTAAATAAAAAAAAAACTTCAGATTGTTTTCTTTGTTTTAATACAATCAATATAAAACAAGGCAGGAGCCTGAGGACAGTGTGGTACAAGTACAACACCTGAAGTGTACTTGAAAATTTGAAAAAAATAAAAAAATCAATAAATAAAAGAAACATTCCTTAGTGATTCAAAGAGCTTACAGATCACATGGCAAGATCAGTTTCATGCAGCACTTAAAGTATATTTGACTTATTTTACTTAACATCTTTTAGCTTTCACCGGAGCATCAACATCAGAAGTCACATCCTGAGTGGCGGCCAACTTCAGGATGTGATTCGAGTTCTTGTGTGAGCCTTGAGCGCAGCTTTGTTTTATTTATACTCATTACAGAGAAAACTTGCTCACAAAGATAAGTTTATTTTCACTCTACATTGTAAAGTATGAAAATAAAGTTTACACAACCATCTCGTGGGCCGGATTTAACTCGCTTGCGGGCCGGATGGCCCGCGGGCCGCATCTTTGACACCCCTGCTCTAGGGTCATAAAAATTAATACACCATGAATTAATTATTACTGTGTGCTTCTCAGCAAATATTGTTACTGTTATATATCCTTACGTTGTTTGGTGCTATGATATCCTGATTATGTACTTTTTAGTGTACCTTTTTCTCTTCAGTTATAAAAGCTGATTCTTGTACCTCTTGACACTCGAGCATCAATGCTGATTGCTTTACAGCCAAATCGGGGGATGTGTACATCCAGTAATTACAAATGCACCAAAAATTAAAGACATTTTTTTTTACTAAAATGAAATTGTGTAGTGTGGAGATTGGGTAAGTGTTCACAAGCTGTGCTGATTTGGAGTCACTACGGTGTACAATAGAGGAACTATTGAAAATTCTAAGTAATGCACGTTCACACAAAAAATAAATCAGAAAATTAATTTAAGAGTACAATGGCGGAGCTGTTGAAAATCATAACCAATAAAAATTTACAAAAATTCAGAAATATGTTTTTTTCATTAAACTAAAGTGTCAGATAGAGAGTGGGTAACAAGTGATCAGCTGTGTGAATTTACAGTTTAAAATGGATGACGAGTTATGGTCCCTGCTCACGCTGGAGCTGCTGGAGGTTCCCCGCTCTAAACTGGGATCAAGGGGGGACAGGGCCTTCTCAGAAATGACCCCTACACTGTGGAACGAGCTCCCCTTGACAGTGAAGCAAGCGCCTTCTCTTTAGGATTTTAAAACACACCTTAAAACTCACTTTTATAGTGAGGATTGAGGATATATATATATATATGCTTTTACTACCTTATTATTTACTTATATAGCTTCCCCAACATTGAAACTGGCTTTTATATTTTTATCATTTATCATCAGTATTGCAGTTTTTAATTGCTTTTATTTGTCTATTTTTCTTTTTACTGATTTTTATTCAATATGTTGTTTTTTTTACTGCTCTTGTTTTTATGTCCTGTTCAGCACCTCGGGCTCCGCTAAGGAGAAGGTGCTGTCACAACCTGCCCTGTCTCCCCTCTCTGTTCAGTCCTGTGTCTTTACTACCACCTGCCTCTCGTCTCCCAGTCATTTTAGATCCCAGCTCCTTGTGTATTTAAACCCTCCCAGTGTTCCTTGTCCATTTTGGTTTCATGTCCCGCGTGTTCCTTATTAAAAACCCTCTAAACGTTCCTGCCTGCCTGCCTTCCCCGCATTTGGATCCTCATCTCCGCTTGACTCACCTGCGCACCCGTGACAGGTGCTTTATAAATTTAAATTAAATTTAAATTGAATTGAAATTTACAACATTTAAAATTTCACCTATATATATATATATATATATATATATATATATATATATATATATATATATATATATATATAATAAACTAGTGGGTACAGTATGATCAGCATGTGTGCAGTGTTATGTTTTGTGAATTTGGTGAGGCTACAGTGGACATGGCTAGAATTTATTTTTTATTATGAATCATTTCTGGTGTTTCTATTTGCAGGCGGTCCCTGAGCACTTAGTTCCATCGCGTCAGGAACAGAGGAAAGCTTGTTTAAACAAAAAAGAGGTTGTAGCTTGTTGATTACTTTCAGGGTGTCTGCGGATCCTTAAAAAGCCTTAAATTAGCTTTTCCAAATTTAAGGCCTTAAAAATCCTTAAAAATGACAAATAATCCTTAAATAGTTTCCAAAGTTCTTAAATTACCAAAGACCCAATAAACAAGATTCTTTTATTTCTATAAAATTTTCGTGAATTTCTAGTTAGTTCAAGAGGGTTCTCGCTGCAGAACCACAAAGGCGGAGCTGCACCAGAAGGTGGAGCTGCACCAGAGTCAGCCCCGCCCATTAGTTCGGCATTTTTTGTGTATGTTGGCGTAAGCGGAACCGTACACATTCGGTTGGTTTGAAAGGGGGCTATTTTTAGATGAGCACGCTAGTGGGAGTTTGCACCATGGGGAAGTGCAACATTAATCGTAACTGGATGGCTAATCCAACGTTCACGACGTGGTTAGCTGCGGTTCCAGGCAATAGCTGGAAATTATAGCTTAAATTTAATGAAAAAAAATAGCTTAAATTTGGTCAAAGTGTCCTTAAAAAAGGTCTTAAAAAGTCTTAAATTCGGCTCCCTTAAACCTGCAGATACTTTGTCACAGTACCAGAGGTAACATTCTGATCGGAAGTCATTTAGCTGGAAAAGTCAAATCTGTGAATATCTTGCAAACTTTACTGAAGTGAGCCACTTTACCCTTGTCAGCCTTTCTGCACACGTACATTTGTATTCGGAATATAAATTATTTAATAACATTAAGACATTACTGTGTATTGAAGTTGTTTTCTAGATCTGCTAATGTCTTTTTTTCTTCATCAGGCTTGATAAAGGAGATCCTATAGCTTTTCTTCCAATATTGAGCTTCAGCCTCACCTCCTTCTCTCCACCTTTTGCTGAGAGTCTCGTTGCAGTTGGACTAGAACTGGCCGGCAAAACTGACCTGCGCTTTACTGACACTCTGTATAAGGTACTTCTCACATTTATGTTTAGTGCGATAAAATGAAATGTTTAATAAAGGGAAATCTGCCGAGTCATCACCTAAGGCTGCATGGGAAACTTACATTACACTTAGTCAATATTCATTCTTTCTCTCTTGGTGTATGGTAGACTTTTCGTTAGGGTAGTTGTGTAAAACAATGTGCTGTCCTTTACCAGACCATCTAACTAAGTGTTCGAGTTTTATGCTTCCAGGTGCTACGAGATGTCTTTCACTATAAGCCCATGCTCTCCAAACAGCAGTTCCTCCAGTCCGGTTTCTCTCAAAGGAAGATTTCCTTCACCTGTGACATCATTAACCTGGTCCTGCAGAGACACTGCCAACTGAAGAAGGTCTTTTCATTTATAACATGATCTAAACTTATCATACAAGTAAGGAGATGTGTATTGGTCAATACTAGTGTTGGGAACATCACTTTAAAATGCAATTAGTTATAGTTACTAATTACTTTGTCAATAAATAACTGAGTTATTTATTGAGTTATAAGATTGTAAAAGTAACGAATTACCAGGAAAAATAACTATTTCAGTATTTTTTTCATAACAATATGCAAAAAAAATGTCATTACATCTTAATAGAACTTAATTTACTATACGCTACTACAATACTAAAATACAAATGACTAGGACATAATAAAATGTATGTCCAATTGTTCAAAATAACACTGAATAATTGAAATAAATGGGCACCAAATGGTTTGTCACCAATTCATTCAAAAATTTGTAACATTTATGGAAAGGATTTTTAGGTGCAGCCAAGGTGTTGAGGAGATCTGTTTTGGTGGCCTAAGGATTGAGTCTCTGCTTTTTGCAGATGATGTTGGCTTCATCAAAATGTGATCTCCAGCTCTCATTGGAACGGTTCACAGCAAAGTGTGAAGCAGCTCCTCTAAATCCGAGACTATGGCCTTGAGTCAAAAGAAGGTAGAATGCCTTCTCCGGGTCACGGATGAGGTCCTGCTCCAAGTGCAGGAGTTTCAGTATCTCGGGGTCTTGTTTAAGAGTGAGGGAAAGATGGAGCGCAAGATCAACAGGCGGATTGGTGCTGCGTCTGCAGTGATGCGGGCGTTGTACCGATCTGTCGTGGTGAAGAGAGCTGAGCCGGAAGATAAAGCTTTGGATTAACTTGTCGATCTACCTTCCAAACCTCACCTATGGTCACGGGCTTTAGGTAGTGACCGAAAGAATGAGATCGCGGATATAAGCGTCCGAAATGAATTTCCACAGGGTGGCTGGACTTTCCCTTAGAGAGGGTGAGAAGCTCAGTGATCCGAGAGGGGCTCGGAGTAGACCCGCTGCTCTTCCATATTGAGAGGAGCCAGTTGACGTGACTCGGGCCGTCTGATTAGAATGCCTCCTGGACGCCTCCCTGGTGAGGTTTTCCGGGCACGTCCAACCGGGAGGACACCTAAAGGTAGACCCAGGACACGCTGGAAGGAATATGTCTCTTGGCTGGCCACAGAACACCTTATTCTCCGAGAGGAGCTGGCCCAAGTGACTAGGGAGAGGGAAATCTGGGCCTCCCTGCTTAGGCTACTGCCCCCGCAACCTGACCCTGGATAAGTGGCTGAAGATGGATGGCTATGGATGGATTGAAAATGGGTGGCTATGTATGTATGGATGGATGGATGGATGGATGGATGGAGGACGGACGGACACTAAAACTATTCTAAAGTCATTGTTTGATATGAAACAAGACCCCAATCAACTAAAATGTACAATTGCAAATAGAAAACACCTGCAAAAAATTCCTGAGCCTTTAAATTGTTTCTTGAACTAATTCGATTTACTGAAGTAAATTGACCCGCATCGTTATGTATTTTATCCAGTTTCGTGTATACAGGTGCTGGCCAGTAAATTAGAATATCATCAAAAGGTTGAAAATATTTCAGTAATTCCATTCAAAACGTGAAACTTGTACATTATATTCATGCAATGCACACAGACCAATGTATTTCCAATGTTCATTACATTTAAATTTGATATTTATAGGTGACAACCAATGAAAACATCAAATCTGGTATCTCAGAAAATTAGAATATTCTAAAGGCCAATGAAAAAATGTTTGTTTCTCTAATGTTGGCCAACTGAAAAGAATGAACATGAAAAGAATGTGCATGTATAGCACTCAATACTTAGTCGGGGCTCCTTTTGCCTCAATAACTGCAGTAATGCGGCGTGGCATGGACTCGATCAGTCTGTGGCACTGCTCAGGTGTTATGAGAGCCCAGGTTGCTCTGATAGTCGTCTTCAGCTCCTCTGCATTGTTGGGTCTAGCGTATTGCATCCTCCGCTTCACAATACCCCATAGATTTTCTATGGGGTTAAGGTCAGGCGAGTTTGCTGGCCAATCAAGGACAGGGATACCATGGTCCTTGAACCAGGTGCTGGTGGTTTTGGCACTGTGTGCAGGTGCCAAGTCCTGTTGAAAGGTGAAGTCTGCATCCCCATAAAGTTGGTCAGCAGCAGGAAGCATGAAGTGCTCTAAAACTTCCTGGTAGACGGCTGCATTGACCCTGGACCTCAGGAAACAGAGTGGGCCAACACCGGCAGATGACATGGCACCCCACACCATCACTGACGGTGGAAACTTTACACTGGACCTCATGCAACGTGGATTCTGTGCTTCTCCGCTCTTCCTCCAGACTCTGGGTCCTTGATTTCCAAAGGAAATGCAGAACTTGCTTTCATCAGAAAACATAACTTTGGACCACTCAGCATCAGTCCAGTCCTTTTTGTCCTTGGCCCAGGCGAGACGCTTCTTGCGCTGTTTCTTGTTCAAGAGTGGCTTGACACACGGAATGCGACACCTGAATCCCATGTCTTTCATGAGTCTCCTCGTGGTGGTTCTTGAAGCGCTGACTCCAGCTGCAGTCCACTCTTTGTGGATCTCCCCCACATTTTTGAATGGGTTTGTCGTCACAATTCTCTGCAGGGTGCGGTTATCCCTAGAGCTTGTACACTTTTTTCTACCACATTTTTTCCGTCCCTTCGCCTGTCTGTTAATGTGCTTGGACACAGAGCTCTGCGAACAGCCAGCTTCTTTAGCAATCACCTTTTGTGTCTTGCCCTCCTTGTGCAAGGTGTCAATGATTGTCTTTTGGACAGCTGTTAAGTCAGAAGTCTTCCCCATGATTGTGGTGCCTTCAAAACAAGACTGAGGGACCTTTTAAAGGCCTTTGCAGGTGTTTTGAGTAAATCAGCTGATTAGAGTGGCAGCAGGTGTCTTCTATATTCAGCCTTTTCAGAATATTCTAATTTTTTGAGATACCAAATTTGGAGTTTTCATTAGTTGTCACTTATGAATATCAAATTTAAATGTAATGAACATTGGAAATACATTGGTCTGTGTGCATTGCATGAATATAATGTACAAGTTTCACGTTTTGAATGGAATTACTGAAATATTTTCAACCTTTTGATGATATTCTAATTTACTGGCCAGCACCTGTATGGGGCAGCAGTAGCTCAGCAGGTTGAGCGGGTCGTCCAGTAATCGTAAGGTTGCTGGTTCGATCCCAGCACCAGACAGTGAATCCTGCTGTTGTGTCCTTGGGCAAGACACTTAACTCACCTTGCCCGCTGGTGGTGGTCGGAGGGACCAGTGGTGCCTGTCCTCGACAGCCTCGCCTCTGTAAGTGCGCCCCAGGGCAGCTGTGGCTACGATCAGTGTGTGAATGTGTGTGTGAATGGATGAATGATACACTGTAGTGTAAAGCGCTTTGGAGTCCTTACTCTGAGAGGCGCTATACAACTGCGGGTCATTTATCATTTATATTTGGGTGTTGGTTTTTTTTTTTTTTTCTTTTGCATTTCAATTATTCATAATGTAGTAAAAGCAAAAATATATAAATAAAAATCCTTCAAAATGACAAATTTACCAATTTGTCCAATTTGCTTATTTCTAGTTCCTGAAACTGGTGCCCCCCCCCCCCCCCCCCCCCCCCAAGTACAACTTACAAGGCGTACTAGAGACCACTGCAAAATGTATCGATTGTAATCCACACCTTTAAAACATTTATTATCAATTGAATAAACCCTTGCAATGAAATTAATGCCATGCTCACCCATCTGGTGCATAAAATGAAACAAAACGACATCACAAGTAAAATAAAATGGCACATTTACAGTTAGACAATCCCGAAGGTGTAATAACTAGAGTGTTGAAATATATCAACTTTTGTGTTATCAGGGTTTTTTTTTATGCATTTGACCATCTTTGAGATTTTATGTGTTGTAGGTTTCCAGGAAGGCATTTGTTGTGGATCATGAAGAAAACCGTGTCAGGATCTCAAATTCATCTCTGAAGGAAACATTGTCCTCTCATAATGTAGCATGTGTCTCTCACACTGAAGTAAATTCCTCATTTATTTCTGACGAGACCAAATCGCAGCCAAAAAGAGAGAAGTGCAAAGAAAGCCTCCTCTACGTGAGTATTCACTAAGTGTTTAACATAAGATCACCGTCGACCAGTTTAACTACAGAAAATACCTTAGAACAGATTTCATACAACATGATAAATTAACCAAACAAGGGAACCTGACGTAGAACCTGGTAATGATAGCACAAGGTGGCACCTGCCTGTTCCTGAGCCATCTGTTTTGTCTGTCAGGTATCAGAGGTGGAAGGAAGACTCTCTGCACCGGAAGCTCAACTGGAGTCTCGCTGGTCTCAGCTGCACAAGATGGGTTGTTTAGAGAAACGTCTGGAGAAACTTCACATGTATAAAGACACAGAGAAGGTTTGTAAAAGACTTTTGCTCTTTATCATACTGGTTAGTCGTCTCCACCCCATCCTCAAAAGTAAAATAAAATAAATAAAAGGGAGATCACATCATCAGCTTCTTCTTATCCCAGAGTTCCAGAAAAAGGAACAAGTTATTTCCAGAGATAGCTGGGAAAAACTGATGGGCAGTCCTTTTACTGGAAGCCAAATAAGAACTGTCCAATACACAGGCTGGACATGCTAGTGACATTATTTATCTGTGTATATAAACTTAATTACTCAGGAGTGATAAATTAAATAAATAGTAATTACTACTACTACAAAGAATAGTATTAGGCCTAGTTCACACGTAGCCGGATTTTTAAAAAAAATGAATATTCGCCCCTCCAAAAACTTGCATCCACACCACCTCGTTTAAAAAAACAAACTCTGTCCACACGTACCCGGATAAATACGTTGTTAGGACATGCCAGACCTGTAGGCGGCAGTACTTCCCCCGTTCTTAACCTCGTCCTTCGTCTGTGGTCTTCCGCAAGGAGCAGTAATTCCGCTTGCAAAAACAAACAAGCAAAAAGCGCTTGGACAATTGATAAAGCGAGCGCAGCTCTGAGGGCATCCATGCGGTCGGCTAGTGTAAACACAGGTCGCACACGTGATGTCAGCATTTTTTTGTCGCGGAAAGTGACGTTGCGGACCTTAAAACTCCGGTTTTGTCTGTCCACACGCAGACACCCAAAACGGAGAAAACGCAGATCTTCACTTTGGCCGGAGTTTTTAAAAAGATCCGTTTTCGTGTGAAAAAACTCTGTTTTCGTGTGGATGACGGGCCAAAACATAGAAAAATATCTACATTTTGGCAGATCCCCGGCTACGTGTGGACAGGGCCTTAATAATGATGGCCTATCTTTTGCAGGATGATGTCTCTGTGGCATGTCGGTTACCTGCTTCATCCCATACTTTCAGTTCCATTTCTGGAGGGAAACAACAGGTGAAACAGTCATTTAGCGGTATCTTATGTACAACCGATGATAAAGTGAGGAAGGTTCATTTTTAAACACCAAAACTAGGGGTGGCTATAGCCGAACAGGTAAAGCTTTTGTCCGTCGAGCCATAGGTCGGTGGTTCACATCCACCAAGTAGGGGCCGCATCATCCTTCCCGCCACACATTAGATTTCTCACGCCAAAAATAACAAAGCCCATATTGAATGGGCTACGAGTGATCAGTGCACTGCACTCTGCACCTAACAGCGTTGTTCAGAGCTTGCGTCCTGAGCACGGCCACAGTAACCTTATCAAATCAGGTGTCGCCACCTCAAAAACTAATTTAACACGCGATCGTTCATGTCAACTCATTTCCTTTTATGTTTTCTGTCTTTTATTCTTTTATTTGTGCCTGATGCGTTTTGCTGCTGTGGATCGGGGTGCATCACCTGTTTTGTCCTCGGTGACGCACCTCACTGATGTGGCCGGCAAGCAGCGAGCACTCTGCTGTTTTTGCGGTCGGTAGATCTTTTATAACTGCAGTTCAAAGGTAACTCATGAGGTGAATATATATGAACCCAGGTAGCAGTTTTTCTTTAGGATTGAGAGGAGATGCAGGAAGATAATAAACAGGCAGGACAGAAAAATACTCAAATAAAAACAAGTTAGTTTTTGTACCTGGTGGTTGCAACAAACAGACACCATTGAAGGTAATCAGAAGTGAGGAACAGAAAATGAAATAATTATTTTAATGTTTAGAGCAGCAGGAACTCCGAGAGGCTGCAGGCGCATCAGTGAGTTTGCGGCCGCTGCGCAGGGGGAGGGGGGAGAGGGCTGAAGCAGAAACTACCGTTGTTAAAAGAAATGTGTTTAACTTAGAAAATGTGGGCGCAATTTTAATTGTCAAAAACTCCAGTGAACCATTAGTTCATTTTGCTCAAATAGAAATTGAGGCCTGCCTCTAATTCTGGTCCTCCTTCCAATAAAGGCCTGGAGCTTGACGAGCTTGAGTCAAATACAGGCCCGGGCCTGTATTAGAGGATTTATGGTATTTGTGGTTATTTGTAGCAAGGTGGATGTAAAACAAAATATAAACAAAAACAGTTGGGAAAAGAGAGTGAGGTCGAGGGACCGCAGCGGCCGAAGCCTAGAAAATATTTTGTTCCTTCTTCCCCAGAAATCTCACTCAGAACTTTTAACTTGAGAGCGCTGTGCTAAATGTTTTCTTGTCTTTTCTTTCTCTGTTCCAGGATGACCTTAAGGAAAGGTTGGAAAGGATCAGCAACATGTGAGTTCGGACGTTAGCTGCTCCTGATCCATCTCATGATGCTTCCTCAAATATGTTTAGTTCTCCAAGTCCAAGTGAAACGGTTTGGACTTCACTAAGTACGGCAGTTAACCCAAAGGCGTCTGATTTAGTCAAAGCTTGCCATTCTGGTTTCCACTGCTGCCCTTCCTGCTACTGAGGATTGCATCTACATCTGTTGTTTTCTTTATTTAAGAATGATTTGGCTTATTGAGATTTTATAATCTAGTTTTTTTTTCATAAGACAAACATTTTAAAATCAATAAACATAGTAAAAAAAAGATAAACAAATTTTTCAAAAAGTCTTAGCCCAAAGGGAGTAGGAAGAAGCCACCCCCTTGCCGCACATTACAAATCTACTTTATATAAACCATGTAGTCATCTAGTGAAACTGAACATACTGTAAAACAACTTATTGAAATCTGGACCTAAAACAAATTGGGTTGGTAGCTTTTGAACAGAGATTGGAGGTAATTGCTGTTATATTAACCCACTTCAGCCTGTTCCGTGTTTGTGTGAAATTTTAGGCTGAAGAACTCCTCCAGTCAGCTGCAGAAACCAGTGCCTGCAAACAAATTCTGATGGACAATGAGCCTCACACAACACTACACTGTTGGTTGAAATATGTCACTTTTATATACTTTTTATTTTGCCTTGTAACTTTTGTTTTTTTAGAAATGTATCACCAACTCATGGAAGATTTTACTAATAAAATTTTAAAGTGTACGTGTGCGTGTGTGTTTTTTGTGTGCGTGACATTGCCAACATTAATATCATGTTCTTGAATTGCTTCCATATTACCCCATGAGGTAGGAAAATTGTGTAAACTAGACACACTGCCCAGCCTTAAATAGCAGGTTAATTATTTTTGTATTCCACAAAGAAATGCTGTATATAAGCCCGCCCTGACGTGGAGTCTATGTTTTTCCAAATAAGAAAAACAACGGCACTATCTTGTGCGTCTGGGCATGTTTTGTACAGCTGAAAAGACCAGTGTTGCCAACTCGGGAACTTTGTTCCTAATGATTTTCCGATCCCCCTCAATGACTTCTTTTCCAGCGACAAAGCTAGCGACAGTCATGAAGACCCTTTGCCACTTTCTAAAACTGAGACTTTTTTGTAAATATTTATTGGTATCACACTTACAACTTCTGTGTGGCATGGCACTTTTAGCTGACATACCTGGCACTGCAGTCTGCTTCTAGCACATTTCCTGCATGTTTTATATCCTGAACACATCTGACAAGTTTGATTTAGTGATGAATCCCTTCTGTAGATGCTAATGACGGCTGGGGAGATGTTTCACACAGAGAGGAGATAAGTTTTGCTTTTGGTTCTACAAAACGGACACTAGGGATGCTAAAAACACGCCCAAACTTCACAGTCTCCTTTTTAAATAATAAAAAGTTGATTTAATGTAAATTTGTAGATCGGTGTAATGACTAAAAAGGGCCAATTTAACCATCAAATTGACTCAGTAACCTTTCATGCACGCCAGAACTGCTAAGTCAAGGTTATGCCAGCTGGAGGATTCAGATGCACAAATCAACCTTTTGCTCACTTATTGTTCTTCAACGCAGACAGAAATGAACTCAAAGTCTCACCAGACGCAAAAGCCTTATGACTTATCTCAGACTGCTGGAACCCTCACTGAATAAAAAGTGAATTTTTTATTCTCATAAGTTAAATAATTTTATGGTTGAATGAACAAGATGTCTAAATCAAATGTTTGAACAATCTGTTCTTAAATCAGTGAAGTTGAAATGATTGTTGCTCTTACAATGATCCATTGCAGGTCTTATGATCAGTATGTGTTTGATTTAACAAGTTAATCATAATTTACACTCACACACATCTTCATAAGATACAAATTAAGGTTAAGGTTCACCTCACATAACATTTAAAGATTCTTTATTCACAGAATTAAGAAGCTTGTATCTGAGGAAAGGCGTGGCTTTCTGAGGAATGTTTGGTAAAGCCTTCCAGACTTGGCACATTCTGATTCGCCAGAATGGCCAGAAATCATAACAAAGTAGTTTAATAAAACAAGAATTACTTCCCGAGGAATTCAGTTTCTAGCGGAGTTCCGAACCGGCCAATTCTGGACAAGCGTCGTTGAGACATCTCTTTTGACATACAGTCAAAACCCTGTTTGCACGCTGCAAGCTGACACAGCCAGATGGCTCCCTAAGAGCCACATCCACTTTGGATGCAGACAAGCATTCCAGCTACTGTTGTGACCTGGAGACATCTCAAGACTGGACGGGTCGTATTGGAGTTTAATCTACAAAATCCCGGTGCTGTGAAGTCTACCTGACTTCTGAAAGTCCGGATCTGCTGGGGGTCTCCGCCAGGATTTGTAGACACGACAGATTGTGTCTAATGCTGTCTTAGTCATAATCAACTCTTTGGGGGAGGGGACGGTCCCACGGCCTCCTCCGTGAGAGCGGGGCAGGGGGGTCGCGCGCTCGTCCCGCAGCACTCCTGAGAGCGGGGTGGGGGTGGGGTGTTTGCACACGCACCGCTGTTGTTTCTCGCCAGTATCAGCTGATGGAGGGCTGTAGTTTCGCTACGCCGTTCATGTCAGCGGACACGGTAGGGTCGGGCAGGGGGGTGGGGCATGACGCTTAGCCTGGCGGGTGGGCAAGCAAAGCCTGGCGGGCCACCAAGCTTATAAAATGCTGGGGGAAACCAAGCCCCCACAATGCGGCTCAAAAATTGAAGCAATCCCGGAAGTACCAAAAATTGCAGTTCCACCCTCATCCGCTGGGGGCTGGTGTCAGAAGCGAGCAAATCCTCTTTGACTCCCATGTTAAAAATACCAATTTCACAGCAGAAATAAACATGTTTACAGCCTGGTACCAAAACATGTTTTTGGTTTAAATGATCTAGTTTACACTCATGACAACTCTGAGGGGGGTGATTTTTTTTGTCACTCTTCTTTTTAAGTGTATTAAAAGCCTAAAATTCTGTATAATTAATGAATACTAGAAAAATTGCATTTGTTGCACAAATGCTGTTTGAATGCTGGACAGCTGAAACTGTAAGCTGAAGCTGCCGAACAGCTGAGCTGAAGCTGAAACAAAGCAGAACGGTCAAAATGAGCTGAATGTATTTAAAGATGTAGAAGCAAAAATCACCAACAAGCGTAATGTAGTTCAGAATATAGGCGAAGAATGGATCAAAATGCTAAACAGCAGACAATTGTAATCTTTGAACATTTATCAAAAACTCGAAATGTGAAATGTTAAACAGCTGGCCTTTGAATGAGAACAGTTTAACGGGTACATTTTTACAATTGGCTGGACTGTGAATTTAGAAATATTTGCTGATATGTGAAACTGATAGATGAACATATGTTCAGATTTGATATGGGATGGATGAAGAGTTGGATGAATGAAATAACGGATGGATTGCTGGATGGATGTTAGATGGTTTATTGGATGGATGGATGGATGGATGGATGGATGGATAGATAGAAGCATGTATGGATTTATATGTAGATGGATGGATTCCTTTGGCCAAGCCGATCAATTTGATGTCTCACATGCGTGGGTGTGTAATTCCATCTAGCCAGAAGATGATTGACCTCTCTCAACCAATAAGGGAGCTGGGAGGGAGCGGGGCACTTTCCCACCTTCTGACGGTCAATGAAATTGAACTTATTTCTAGTTTTAAGTACAAACAATTCAAAAACAGGAGTCTGTTATGGCTCAATATTCTTCTTTTTATATTCATTCCTATGAGACTTGGTTAAAGTGATTTGTAGTTCCATGTGTTGCCATGGTAACAGATGACAGAAGTCTGCATTAATAAAGCTATGTACAATAACACATGAGTCATTTAAACTTTGAATAACATTTCTATATTAAAGTATGTTGATACAGTTGTGTCTAAAATGTTGTTAAATATTGTTGCTAAGCACGTTGCCATGGAAATGCAGAGCACAATATCAAGTTAACACAAGACTCCTGGGACCAAGCAGGTTGAATTGATGTACCATCTGTGGGTGCACATTTCCTTTTAGGCAGAAGACGATTGAAAACTCTCAGCCAATGAGAGAGCAATGAAGGAGGAGGGGGCGGTTCCTGCCTTCTGACTAGTGTTAAAATGTCAGCTATGCTGCTAGTTGTAAGTGTATAGAGTTTTAAGTGTATAGAGCTGGTTGGTTGGTTGGTTGGTGTGTTGGTTGGTTGGATGGTTGGTTGGTTGGATGGATGGATGGATGGATGGATGGATGGATGGATGGTTGTTTGGTGTGTTGGTTGGTTGGTTGGATGGATGGATTCCTTAGGCCTAGCTGATCGATTTGATGTCTCACATGTGTGGGTGTGTAATTCCATTTAGCCAGAAGATGATTGACCTCTCTCAACCAATCAGGGGGCTGGGTGGGAGCGGGGCACTTTCCCACCTTCTGACGGTCAGTCAAATTGAACGTGTTTCTACACACAGAACAAACCACCCAATAACACAGTATGTGCAAGCGCTTCACCTTAAATTCTCTTTAATTCTCTTGTATGTTATTTTGTGTGTGCGTGTGGGTGGGTGGTGGCGGTGGTGGTGGTGGTGTGTGGGGGGGGGGGGGTCATTTTGCCTTGGCCCCCAAAATGTCTTGAAACGGCCCTGGGTGTGTGACTGAGTTTTGAAGGTGATCTGAATTGTATCAAACGTATAAATATTACATGTGTGTAGTGGACATAAATCTACCTACATTTTACTTTTCAACACTTTGTTTTGTTTTCTTGTTTTTATTGAACTATTTTCCTGTCCTGTGTCTCTCATCTTCCTGCATCATTTATGACCACATTTGACATACATATTTAAGTTTGGAGAACAAGCGTGAGATAATTGACTTACTGCTGGAAACTGGTGGCTTTTTGATTCCCGCTTCCTGTGAGCCTGCAGGCTGCTGTGAAGCTGTGAGCGAGGCAAAGCCGGCAGCCCCGCCCGTTGGAAACAGCGCGTGTGGACCGACCGTACCAACTTGAGGAATTGGGGGGGGGGTGGGGGGTGGGGGGGGTGGAGGACTATAATTTCTCAACAATTAAAAACACATTGTTTTGTATTTGCAGACTAACTTTTACGTTGTGGTTTTAGAAGACAATACAAGTTTACTGATAGCATTTATACATGTACAATAACTTTTGTGGGGGGGGGACAACTTTGTGTGAGGGGGGGACGTTTACCTCCCGTCCCCCCTGGGATCTCCGCCTATGCTCCTGTTAAGAGAGAACCCTTGAAATCTGCCCTTCAGAAGTGGAATTGGACCTGTCAAACTTCTCATCACCATTCGAAAAGTACTGCACCGATTTGAAAAATTCAAAAAGCGTGAGTGGCAGAAGACTTTGATGATCATCTGTGCCGATTTTTATGTGCCTACTATGAATTGTCTAGAAGCTATGACGATAAACTTTTAGCTGTGTGAAGCCGAACTGAGGAGAAAATCTCTCTTCCTTTAACATGGGTTTCAATGAGCGAGAATCTGGCTCTCTCCTCCTTCTGAGGCTTGTAGCGAAAGAACGGTAACACTTACAGATAAAATGAAACCCATTCTGAAAAGCTGACAAAAATTCCTACTTTTTGAGGTATAATTTGTTTCGGTAGTCCAAACGGTCTGGGCGTAAGAAAGAGTTGTTCATAGAAGATGTGAAGTTCATAACAGAGTGGGGAATTTTCAAGTGAGAGTGGGCAGAGACCTGTTTTTAAATTTGAATTTTCTCGAACAA